GAGAGAGGCAAGCCTTTACATTTCTGTGCAATTTCCATGCCAATGCCTTTCAACATTTCACACTCTTCTTTTSTTTTTCCCACTAATGCTATACTACTTATCAATGACCAACAGTCTTGGTCAGACAATACCTCCAAATTATGGAGGTAAGTTGTGCCTAACATCTCTGCAACTTTTGTCTTGCGTGTTGTGACTAGAATCCTACTWCCCTGTATACCACGGTTGAGGGAAAGCTTTAAGGGTTCCCAATCGAACTCATCCTCGGTCCACATGTCATCTAGAACAAGTAGGTAGAACCTATTTTCAAGGGAATTGCTCAACAGATTATGTAATGCTTCCCATGAAATATCATTATCAATTTGAATCTCCTTGTCAATGGCTTTAACAATCTCCTTGGCAATCCTTACTTTATCAAAAGGCTCAGACACACATACCCAAATTTTATTCTTGAAATGGGCAGTTATCCTCTCATCGTTGAAAACTAGCTGGGCAAGAGTTGTCTTGCCTAAGCCTCCCATACCAACTATGGAGATGATGGGGACTGAGAAGCTCCTTTCCTCCCGACTACCCTTGCCCTCACTCAACAATTTGCTCACTATTAGTTCTTTCTCTGAATCCCGACCTATTGTGCTGGATATGTCAATCAAAGAACTGGTTTGTCTAGTTTCTGGTCTACTGATCGCTTCCTCCCTTGTGTTGTTGTGGATTTTGAACCCAAATCTATCTTTTTCATTTAAAATCTCATCTACCCTTGTGTTTACATCCTTTATTCTATGGCCAAAGTTATGCCGGAGACATGCTTGTTTGAAACACAAACAATGAGAGTACAAGCTTATGGTTGAACGTACCTTTCTCACCACGCTCATGGAAGCATTATCATCTCCTTGTGCTTCTGATTTCGAAACCTCCGTGCTCCATTCGTCCACCAAATCGTCAATGTCGTAAGCTACATCTTTGAGACGTCGTAGCCAAGCTTTCACTGGCTCTTCTTTTAMTTGCCTCTCCTCTGCATCCTTAAGCACCGCCTTAATTATCTCAAGTGCATTGAAGAGTTTTCCAGCCTCTTCTTTAACTCCAACAATCAGCTCTACTTCTTGTTGGATAAACTGGGTTAGTTTCTCTGAGATAAGGGATGCAATCGCTTCAGCCATATCGATCAAATTGGAGGGATGAACGGAAAAAACAAAATGCCAGACGAATTGTTGGGTATTGTTTGAGTGTAAGATGCTTTTATAAYGAAGGGTCACAAGAAAACAGATGGGTGTTGTTTCTTGTTTGTGCTAAAGACAAAATGCACCTACCATGTATTCACCTACCATGAAAACTACCAGTTCATAAAAATTAGAAAAAAACTTTTATTTTTTTGTTTTTTAACCTGAAATGACGCTGGAGAATGGAAGGTTAATTTTGATCATTGAAACCAGCAAAACCACTACATAAAACCCATGAGCTTAAAACCAGCTCCTGTTATGATTCAGCCATTCAACAGTCCTGTCCATTATTAGTACTACAATGTTGACCGAACTAATCTCATCAAGAGGAGAGAATGCTGAAAACTCGAATGACACCACCCTTTGGTTTTTTTTGCCATTGCTTCTGCCTTCTGYCAAAGGGACAATAAATTAAGGACATTTTTATCTACCATTTTATTTTTGGATTATAATATAATTTTTTTTTTTATAAATAAATATGAGAATGCCGCAATTGGTTTTGTGCAAAGACCCTGATTTCACTTTTTCAAGTTTTCATTGTGTCATGCATATTGATGTTCCTATATATTATCCCCAGAATTCATTTCATTTTGTCGTTTCTTTTCGATATATCTGCTCGCATGTGATGCCATGTGATTAATATAATATTTCCAATTTTCAAATCATTCATTTTGTGGTTCCACACTGCTAAAAGAAAATCCCGTGACTGAAAACTGTTGAGGCTGCTCTAGAATCTCTTTGTTAATGAATGGTGGGAACACATCGAGTATTTTCATCAGAGACAATGTACAGGTAGAGRTATTGAAATTTTGGATCTCTTTAGTTTTATTTTAAAAATTTAAAGAACACTAGAGGGCAAAATTGATATTGGTGTCAATTGTCAAAAAAAAAAAAAAAAACTTGAGAGCATTTGAAGAGATTTTTCGAACAATAGGCTAAGTTTTAGTCCATTTGCTAAAACATAGAGATAATTTAAATATTTACCATTTTCTATAAAAATGGGGTTTGATGAATTTAATGAGTTTTGTTTTGTAAAATAATATGGTTGCGCATCAAAATTCCATTTCTTTGATTCATTGGATTCAGAAGTTGAGAAGAAATATGATCAGCTAAGTTTTTCGTTCCAAGGAAAAAAAATATTGGATTCATATTTTAGGGAGACAGATTATTGGTGTTTTTATGCCCATAGCTCCGAGGATCTAGAGTGGTGGCCTTCGCAATAAAGTTCATTATTTGTTGGGAAATTCTCCATTCTCCATTCCTACTAACACATATTTTAAAAGGAATTGCATACAATAAGCAAAAAAATGGATTGGTGGAAAGGCACATTAAATAAAAATCTTGATGACTGAGTTGTACTGGTTGATAAGGTCTCCTGTTGGTTGTAAGGAAGACTTGGGATAGAATCTTGATGGGCTGCCGATTAGCCCAATTGTACTGGTTGATATGTCGATCGGCTGCAGCTGCCAATTGGCCCAACTGCCAGATTAGCCTATCAAAAGGAAAGAAACAAATGCCCACTTGCTTCCAATTATTATCAGCTGGGGACCTGCATAAATGCTAGCCTATCAAAAGGAAATAAACAAGTACCAACTTCCTTCCAATTATTACTAGGGTGGGCCCTAAGTTGTTACCTGAGAACGGTGGCTAAAGACTGATGAAGAAATCTCTGACCTGGTTTTGCTTGAGAAATGAGAAATCTATGTTTGAATAATAATTCAAACTACGTTAGAAGACAAGGGAAGTTTTGTATATATATATTTTTTCGGATAAACAGGAAAACATGCCATGTGAAGGCGGAGAGAAGCATGGGGGACTATGAAATTTAAAAGAATTGGAGGAGAAGCAAGGAGGACACCAACATTTCCGCCATTAATGGCCACGACGCAGAGCATTTGGAGCATGAAAACCAGTACATCGTCAGGCTTCCCAAAAAAGCAGTTTAGGGTTTTTCGTTATAGTCACTAAAATTAATAACTCTGAATCCCTTCTTGAGCCAATGATTAGCTTCGGGGTGAACCAGTAAGGGCACCAGAACTTGCCCTTATAAATCTTCTTGTACATGACCATGGTGTTTTGATCATGGAAGGGGAGATAACCAGCAATTAAAACAAACAAAATCACTGTACAGGACAAGATGTCCATTTCCTAGGTTAAATAGGTTTTAAGATAAAAAGGGCAAGAAAAAGAAAATAGAAAAATTTTAGTGGGGCATTTTGGTAATTTAACACTTTCCATCATCTGTATAATGGAGGAGGCCTTTGTTATTGATCCCATAGTACAAGGGGTCTTTGTAATTTACCCTTAAAAAATAAAAACTTAATAGTAATGAAATATCGAAAACTAAAACATGAAAAGCAAATTATAAAGTGAAAAATATCAAATATTAATGGACACATATATCTATCAGAATTCATATACATATATTGTAATGCGGGAGGAGGGGTAACCAAGAAGAAGAGAGGAGAGAGATCCGACACATGAATGAAAAGTGAGGGAAAGATAGAGTTGTAAGGATTACTCTTTCATGCATGACTTTTAATGTTATTTTACTCACTTTTCAAAAAAGAAAGCTATGATTAATTATTGTTAATTTTATTTTACATTTTGTTTGAATTTATGATGAATTATTAATATTATTTTACATTTTGATTAATCAAGGCTTCATCGTTGTTGCTTTGCAATCATCTCAATGTTTTTCATATTTTTAATATTCTTGACATATTTTTTGAATAGTTCTATCTTCATATGTTAATTACTACAGATCTAAAACAAAAACTAAATTTCTATGAATGAACTCACTATCAATTAATTATAAACAGTGAGTTGCATGTATGTATGTATATATACATTGTATAATGTGTACATATTACAAGATATAGATAATGTTGAACAACTGCACAAGATAAGAATTATAGAGTGAAATAAGGAGATAATATTTATGGAGTGAGAGCATTTAGGAGATCAGTTCAAACTGTACTTATCTATTCAATTGTGAGTTACTTGGCTGACTTGTATTCAAACTCTTCCTATTCTTATCTGCCCTCCGCAAGTAGATAGGGAGAGGATGCACCATCAACTTGTTCCTTAAGAAAGAAAGTCTAGAAGACCTTAGTGGTTTAGTAAAATTATCGATTCACTGATCTACACTAGAAATGAAGTGAACATCCAAGGCCTTGCGAGCAACATGCTCTCGAACAAAGTGGAAATCAATCTCTATATTCTTGGTACGAGCATGGAAAATAGGATTTGTAGTTAAATACGTCGCACCAAGATTATCACACCAGAGGACAAGAGGAGAAGCGGGAAGAATAACAAGTTCACGAAGTAAGGATTGAAGCCAAAGTAATTTTGAAATAGCACATGCTATGCTTTGGTATTCAGACTCCATGTTGGACTGAGAAACGGTAGCTTGCTTTTTGGAAGACCATGAGATCAAATTGGGGCATAGGTAGATACAAAAACCACCATGAGATCTTCTGTCATTCAGGCTTCCTGCCCAATCAACATCTGAGAATGCATGAAGGCAAAGAGAGGTAAGAGGAGCAACGACCAAACAAATCCCATAATGAATAGTGTGTTTCAAATATCTGAGTATGCACTTGATTGCACTCCAATGCTCAGTAGTGGGAGCATGCATGTACTGACATACCTTGTTGACAAAAAAGGCTATGTCAGGATGAGCTATGGTTAAGTACTACAAAGCACCAACGACACTCCTATATAAGGAAGGATTAGCTGGAAGAACATCTCCAGTGTGCTGTTGAAGTTTACAAGTGGATGCCATGGGAGTTCCATAAGGTCTTGCACCATCCATTTGAGCTTTCTAAAGAAGATTCACTATGTTTTATTTTTGAGACAAAATAGTGCTATTGGAGTTGCAAACCACTTCAAAACTAAGAAAAAAAATGTAAAGAACCCAAGTCCTTAACAGCAAAGGAGGTGGTCATGTTAGCAATAAAATTTGATACAACAATGGAGTCTGAACCAGTGATAATGATATCATAGACATAGATGAGTATAAACATAATACATGTAGGAGGTTTAAATATAAATAAAGAAGTATCTACTATAGATGCCCTAAACCCAGCTTGAAGTAAGAATGTACTAAGTTTCTGAAACCAAGCTCGAGGAGCTTCATGTAAACATTTTCTTCAAGATCACCATGAACACATTTTGAATATCAAGTTGCCTTATAGTCCAATTCTTGGACAAAGCAATTGTAAGAACAATGAGTATAGTAGCTGGCTTTATAACTAGACTTTATGTTTTAGTAAAATCAATCCCAAGTTGTTGATTGTAACCTTGAGCCATAAGGCATGCCTTATAACGGTTGATAGAGCCATCTAGGTTTCTCTTGGTTTTGAAAACCCACGTACACCCAATGAGATCCATATCATTAGTGTGGGCAACAGGAGTCCAAGTTCCATTTCGTTGAAGGGCATCAATCTCTACTAACATTACATTTCGCCACTAAACACTTTTGTTGGTTAGACTAAAACAAGTTGGCTCACCATCATTGATTTCTAGTGGGTGATGAGAGGAAAAATAAACTTTGGATTTAGAAATACTAGCCTTTCCGCGAGTAATTATAGGGTGTAGATTGGTTACAAGTAGTGGAGTAGGAGCAGCTCCTACAATAGTAACCTCAGGAGTGACTTCAAAATGAGAATTAATAGAACTTGATGATATGACAACAGGAGAAGGAGAAACATTATCACTTGAAATAGGAGAAGCAACTGAATTATGGTCATTCATAATAGAGGAAGTAGATGATATAGTATTGCATAGTAAAACTTCAACGATAAGAGGAGATTCAATAGTTGTGGTACAGACTTGTATAGAAGAAGAAGAGTTAGAAGCAACCAGAGTTTCACAACTAGACATGAAGAAAAATGTATCTTCATCAAACTAAACATGTCGTGAAATAAAAACTCTGCCCGTAGGAAGGTGCAAACATATATACCCACTATAGCCTTTAGGATATCCCATAAATACACAAGTAACAGAACGAGCTTCTAGTTTATGCCTATTGTAAGGTCAAAGAAGAGGATAACAAGTGCAACTTTCAACGTGCTATAATTAGGTATACTATGGTATAATACCTCTCAAGGAGATTTCATAGTAAGAATTTTTGTAGGAAGTCGGTTAGCAATGAAAATAGATGTCTGAAATGCTTCCCACCAATAATTCTTTGGGACACCAGATTTTTCTAGTACGGTCATACCCATTTCAACTATTTGTGTATGTCATCTCTCAACATGGCCATTTTGTTCTTGGGTGTGAGGACAAGAAAAACAATGCAAGGTGCCACATTGATTCAGAAAAGATTTAGATTTGACAAACTCTCCTACTTCATATGTTTGAATAGATTTAATCTTGGTATTGAAATAATTCTCAACTTACAACTTAAATTTGACAAAAGTGTCAAGAGTATCTGATTTCTAAACAAGTGGAAAAATCTATTTATATCTAGAATGGGCATCAACAAAGAGAAGATAGCATTTAAATCCGTGGACAGAAGTTATAGGAGATGCTCCCCAAACATAACAAAACAATAAGTCACTAATTGTAAATGGTAACTTATGGCTTTTGCCAAGAGACAAAAGGACACGCATAGCAAAAATCCATTCTTTTATTAGTAGACACCGGCAATGAACTGGAGTTGAGAATATGCCTCACAATGCGAGGTGCACAATGACCCAACCACTCATGCCATTTATTCATTGAAGTTCTAACACCTAAGAATTGTTACCACCCAATTTTTGCTAGGTCCCTTTACCCTACCTCTTTGTACTCCCCTTTTGCACTCCAAAAACTTGAAACACAACCAGACCAATTCCAAACCAGAAAAACCCTCTTTTGACACAATCCACAAGACAAACAAGAACCTTAATCAAACATCATCCCCAGACTTGAAAGACTACAACTTAGTTACACGTCAATTTTCATGACTAAACTACATAGTTTTTTTCGTTCATCATGCCAACTTCCTTTTTTAACGGCCCCGATCTATGCAAACTCCAACTCCTTAAAATCAAATCCAACATATTCATCACCTCAAGATCATTAGGAAACAATTAACTAGCAAATCCCACCATGAATCTTCAACAACCAACCGCAAAAACATCAAGATCCCATTTGGATGGCCCAGAATGATTATGAAGATCGACCATATATTTCTCAAATCAGAACCATCCACTTGACTTCTCACCCAAATCCATGCTTACCTACCAAATTATAGCTCAAAATTCCCTTGTTTAACCCCACTGTCAAGCCTAGATCCTATTCCAATGAATCTCCTTAATTAGATCCTACCATCCATCATCCCAACCTCACATGACAAATCAGACTTCACCACTATGTTCAGAGACCCAGAAAACCCTAGCGTGTCAAATCTCACGACCAAACACTTCCGTTTGACTGCTGAAAAAGTAAGATTCCATAAGATAAGACCATTATTTGAACTAAATCAATCAATCTGCACCCCTGATCAAAGATCCATTACATGCATTAGATTCAGAATAATCAAAAGTGCCAACCCACCAAATTTCATCCCAAAATTCCTCCATTTGACCCTTCATCAAATAAAGATTCTATTTTAGCAAATCACGTACATCCGAACTTGTCAACCACATATCTCCATCATCCCGACCCCATTTGTCCAATCCGACATCACCACTGTGTTCAAAGGCCCAAAAAACCCCAAGACACCAAATTTCACGACTAGACTCATTCGTTTGATCGTTAAACTAAAAATATACCATTTTGACACACCAGATCAAATTATCACGTCATTTGTCCCAACCTGAAGTCTTAAAAGGGTGATGATTATGTCAAACCCATTCTTGACCCATTAGAACACCTGGGCCATTCAAACAAGGCCTAATAGACCCAAAAAGCTCAAAATACCAAACAGACCCCTACTTAAGACCTAGAAAAGACAAAGTAGCTTTGAAAAGTTCATTTTCTGCCATTGTAAGTCCCAAATACGAGACTGCAATGTCTGGCACACCCCAAACTCCCATTGGACGCACAAAACCCATGAAAACCACCCCCAAATCGAAGAAAATGTTTTATTGGACACCTATTTCTTTGAAGAATCTTTGCCTATTTTAGTGAAAGAATTGCTCAATCACAAACACTATAATTGAGCATATTTCAGGCCCATCTCCTTCCATTTTCTCTTTAAATGGAGGCCCAGCTCGAGCTTGGGGGGG